TCTTGGAACAAAAAATTATTCTCTCAGCCAATGTTTCCTTCAAGAGTTTCCTTAAGCCTCAGGAAGCCAAGTGACAGTTCTGGTAGACTGAGCCCACTGTGGTAGAGGGATCTGGCTTGTAACAATGATTTTTGGCTTGTTGTTTCCGTGAATCTTCAACCAATATGTCCTTTGAGCCACCTGCGATAACCTCTTTTGTGTGACTTCCCAGACTTGTCATCTATCTGCCACATCCCTTCTCAAGTGACCTTTTGCTCTTCCTCTCAGCCCATTCCCAGGACTCTTGATAAACTTTCTCTTTCATTTCTCACTATTTTCCTACCCTTAAAACATGGGACCTTCACCCACGGTCCTATACACTTCACAATGAGCAGGACAGGAGCTATGGTAGGAGCTTTAAATACATGGTCTTCATTTATCAACAACATCCCCATATGGCTGTTATCACTATCCCCATCTTATAATTCAGGAAATAACAATGGAGACATTAAGACAGAGGTGAATGTTAACCAAAATATGACAAGGTCAAGTTCCAGTTGATAAGAAGAAGGAAATCTCAGTACTGTGGTCTCAGCAACAATCGTGAGGCCCCTGAAGGTCTAGGATGGAATAAAAAAAGAAGGGACAAGTGAAAAAACAAACAAACAAACTTTTGTCTATATTTTAAAGAATCTTGTGTTGAATAACTGGTGGGAGTCACGCTGCCTTGGGTGAAGGCATAAAGTTGTTCTTGAGCAGAACACCTCTACCTGGAGAGAAAATTAGTTTAGCTCTGAGAAGTGAACTCACAGTAGACAAAAAAGAAAAGAAGAAGAAAACTCACTGAGGAACCAAAACAAGAAATTAAAGATGTTTTTGAACTATTTGATGCAGACAAAGGTGAAGTGATAGATTACCATGAACTGATGGTGGGAATGAGAGCCTTGGGGTTTGATGTAAAAAAACAAGAAAGAAAGAAACAGTAGATGTGCTTAAGATTCTTAAAGATTATGACAGAAGCCATGGGAAAATCACCTTTGAAGATTTTAATGAAGTTGTGACAGATGGAATATTGACTGTGATGTGTTGTGGAGGTGTTATTTTCTGATCATAGCTATTTGCAGATCTATATGCTTTACTTATGTATACATTAAATTCTTTACCCACACTTGGAAACTGTTCTGCTATTTCATTGAACAAGTATTTTATGCTATTGTGTTATCTTCTGATTTTTCATTAATTCTAATATTTATTTATTTTTTATTTATTTATGTGTGTGTGTGGCCAGCTCAGCCCACCAGGGGGCAGGGCTGGCTGGCATGTGGTGCTGGGGGATTGAACTGAGGTCCCTGTGCTCTTGCTAAGCTTGTTTTAAGTAGGTGCGTTAGACCACTGAGCCATCTCACCAGCCCCTAATTCTAATATTTAGATTAGTCTTCTTTGTATCATCTGGCAGCTGTTGTGTTTATTCTTTCATGTTTTTGGTTGTTTTTAAAGCATCTCTTATGAATCTAACAGCAACAACAGACCTGTCTTCAAGGTTAGATACTCTGCACTCACATTGATCACTTCTGCTTTCCACATTTCTGATAGAACTTTTAATTTCCCAAATTTCTATTTGGAGCCTTCTTATGGAGTCTAATTCTTTTCTGTGATGGTTTGTGTTAGTTACTTTTCTCTCACTGCTGAGACAAAATACCTGAGACTCAATGTTAAAGGAGGAAAGGTTTATTTAGTCGCAGTCCGTAGAGGTTTCAGTCCATAATCAGTTGGCTCCAGGGCAAAGTGACACATGGCAGAAGGGGCAACTACTCATAGTGGCAGAAGACAGTAAAAGCAACAAGAGGGGCAGACAAGATGTTTTCTAATATTGTATGTAGGCTACCAGCCCTAGGGCAGGTGTAGCACTCACACCCTTAATCCCAGCATCACACACTCTAGATTCAGCCACCTTTAAAAAAGCCCTATGACCACATGAGACTTTTGGGGACATCTAGACAAGAACCATAGCACTAGTATGTTGGATTAACTAATGGTTAATTTGTTCCATCCAGATCAACTAAATCAGCATGGTGCTGGATATGGATGCCTCACCTCAGGATTATTGCCAACGGCATCAAAAGAAATTTTATTTT